TCTATCCCTGTTATGTACTTCTGCCAGCCACTGAGCTCCCTTTCTTGTAATCTTTTTATTGATCAGAAGGGATGCATCACTTCTACAGCTTAGAAAGATTTCCCAATTTCTTTCAACATCATCTGTCGGTTTACCCGCCCCACCGCGGGGGTCTAGTGGCTATGGTACTTGGCTACTCACCCGCAGGTCGCGGGTTCGCATCCCGGCAGCGGCGACTGCATTTCCGATGGAGGCGGAAATATTGTAGGCCCATGTGCTCAGATTTGGGTGCACGTTAAAGAACCCCAGGTGGTCGAAATTTCCGGAGCCCTCGACTACGGCGTCTCTCATAATCATATGGTGGTTTTGGGACGTTAAACCCCACATATCAATCAATCAATCAATGTCGGTTTACCTTGTTGCTTAGCATGTCTGTGTTCCCTAGAGGCTTCCTGACGTTTTGCTATGGCTCTCTTAACTTCCTCATCCACCCAACTCTTGGGTTTGTGTCTTCTTTTCCGGGGTGCCTTAGCAAGCTCTAGCTTAAACAGTCTAATTCAATTCATGTATGTCCACACTGTTTTATTATCCTCCGTGATTACTTTTAAAATAAAGTTTTTTCATTCCGAAATAAAGTTTTTTCATTCCATTCTATTACTTTCTCAATTTGTTTAGTGGCTATTTCTATTTGCCTTTCTGGATAAAAAGTTTCCTGTAGTTGCTCATCTTGTCTCCTTCTCACTTTCACTGCTCTTCCAAAACTTAGCTTGATACGTTTGTGATCACTACCCAGACTTGTGGAGCCACCTTCATCTATGTGTATTCCTCTGAGCTTATCATACATCCTATGTGACATCAGTGCATAATCTATCGTCGACTGCAACCTTCCTACCTCCCATGTTATTTGCCCTTCACACTTCTCGGTACTGTTGCAAATGATCAAATCAAGCCTTTCACACGTATTCATGATCATTTTGCCTGTCGGGTCGGTATACCCATCTATATCTTATCTTCTATGTGCGCATTCATATCTCCTAGTATAATTATCTCGCCCTCTCTTCCTAACTTCTGAATGTCCTTTGATACACACTCTACCATTGCCTGGTTTTCCTCTCTGGCCTTTGCTCCCGTCCACAAGTACACGAAACCAAGGAGTGTCATTTGACCTGCCACTCTCCTCTTTAGCCATAAATGTTCCTTGCACTCCTGCTTGACCCTTTGCCAGTCTTGTACTTTTATGAATGAATGCCCCATTACCACCCCCCTTTCTGCTGCCTTCTGTTCTAATACAATATTCCCACGCGTAGTCCGGATTGTTAGGAGAATTTCCATGTTCCTAAGATGTAGTTCTACCGAACCGTATACCATCGGCCTCTCTTACCTTAGCTGTTATTTTATCTCTTCGCACTTCAGCCTGTTCCTGCCACCCTGTATGTTGATATACTCTATGTCTGAATCGTCTCGACGCTCGTGGCTACGTCCATTTCTGCCCCGGACTTATCCTATGTTAGATAATGGTGCCACTTTGGAATCATATCTGTCCATACCACCTGTCAGAGTCTCCCTGGTTGTTTTCCTCGCTACTAGTGATCCTGCACCCCGAAGGGACTGCTTGCCCCCCAAAAAAAACTACTGCGCGTCCTGCAAGTCACCAACCCGCCTCATAACCTAGCCGCCCATCGAAGTGAATTCTGTCTCGTTGAAAAACACCCTACCATGCACCTATCTGTTCATTTCCACCACCTCAAAGCCTTTCTCTCGACTCATACGCCATACCTCGCGGTTCGCGTTGACAACCGCTCTTTGTAGGTTGTCGTCACGCACCAGGTACCTCTGGTATCGTGCATATCGCTACCTGTACCTTGAGGAGAAGTGGATCGCATGTCATCAACCCCTTTCGCCAGAGTGGTCACCAGTCCTGCCGTATCTTCACTTAAGACATCGTTTAAACCGCCTGAAATTATCACGAGGTTTTTTCTATCAGCGGACGTTTTGAGTTTTGCATTCACTTGCCTCATGACTGCTTCCAGCTTGCGTCCTGGGAACGTCCCTACTGCAACCCTCTTGTCACCTCTTACCCTCTCTTTGATTCCTTCTGCGCATCGATTTAAATTCGAGTCCCCGGTGATTATCACATGCTGTGACTTTTAAGCTGGAGCGTCCTGCACCTGGGGGTTACCTGCACCTGTGACGACAGCTGCTTTGTCCCTCTCCCAGCCCCACCACTACTTCGCTGAAGCTGGGCCTTGTGACAATCAAACCGGCTGAACCTGTTTTTTCAAACTTGGTTGCTCTTTCTTTTCCTCCATTCTGGTTGCCGAAGTCCTACTGTTCTGTTCCGTCGGCCAGCTCCTTTGTTCACCTTGGCTAGTGCTTCCTCGGCAGACTTCAGCCTTTCTCCCATTGCCTTCGTTTTTTCTTGCTCTGCCGCCAACACAGTCTCCAGCTCGGTGATTCTCAACAGCAGTTCACCCTGGGCAGCCATCGTTTTCTCCATTTTTTCCTCGACCTCACATTTCCTACACTTTGCGTGAGCCTCCTCTCCATTTGCTTCTGCGCGTGGGTCCATTTTCAAACTCACCCTGCATCATGAACACTTTACAGCCTTTTTAACCATGTCTTTATGACATCAATTGTCCTTAAGACTTGTCTCACTCGATAATTACAAAACACGATCCCTGTCCTGCGAGAAAGTCTAAGCTCTACTACACAATTTGCATGTTCAATGTACGTGCACTTCCCCATGGGGTGGTAGGAGAAGAAAAAAAACACAAAGAAACAAACAAACAAACACACACACACAAACTAGTGATACCTGGTGACTGACCCCCGGAAAAGTTGTACAATGTAATAAGTGCTACAAAGATTTTAACTGCTGCCTTATTAATTTTAAAGGCAAGCTCAAAACATGCAAAAACACTTATCTACGCAGTCGATCGGGAGAGCTCAAAAACACGTCTATCTACCGTGCCAGTCCGAACTCGTGCTCCAATCCGCGTCCGATCCGTTCGACGCCACCTAGCGTCCCCGAAGAAGCCGGCTTCTCGAAGAAGCCGGCTTCCATGTTGCGTCCCCAAAGAAGCTCGGCTTCCATGTCGCAGCGCCCCCCATGCTACTGCGGCCGGCGCATGCACTCTACAAAACGAGCTGCATGCGTAAGTACTCTAAATCAGTGAACATCTTTTTCTTAACAATCGTTAGGCACTTCTTTGAACACACAAGCACTGGTAGTAAAAGGAGCACAATGTCCCCGTGGAGTGGTTGATGTTAACCACTGTCTGGTGAATGCCCCAGGATTTGAGGAGTCACTGGGAAGTGTTACTTTCTTATTATAAGATATAAGCGCAACCTTGACTCTCGTAAACACCCGCACAAACATTCACTCACGACACGTCCACTTGAGTAACACACCAATACTCAGCGCTGAGTGTCGTGTGTATTACTCGGGTGGATGTGTGAATTTTTGTGTAATTGCGAGAGAGAAGGTTGCGGTAAATATCTTACAATATGAGGAGTAACCAACTAGCCCAACAACAAGTTTTATTGAGCTAGTATGTTCCATTCTTAGCCCCCATACGGAAAGAGGCAGAGGTCACCAAGGAGGTTTAGAAAAATTGCTGGAGTGGAAGCTCCCGCAATGCTTCGTCAGCAGTAGTGAAGTCAGCTTTTGCCCTCGAAAATCTCAAAAACATGCTATTTTCTGGTGGTTCCCACTTAGAGCCCAAGTGACATTGATTTGTTGGTCTGAAAGCTACGTTAATAATAAATTAAAAGATAGTTATTTGCGAAGAAATAACCAGCAGAGATAAGTATTGGTCACTTTATCTTCTATGAAAGTCGCCTTGAATTCGAGGTTCACTCAAGGAAACTAGTAACACAAGGACGCACTTCGAGCACTCTCTGACCCTAAAAAGTTGCCACGTTAAACTCGTTGGGCGTGCGAGGAAAACGCTCCTTCATAATCGCTGAACGTGAACAAGCTCATCATGACCCTAGTAAGATGGCTGCCGCAGCCGCCATTCTACGGTTGGTATGGCTTCACTTGTGGGCAAGAATTTCCACTCCAGCAATTTTTTTCAAACCTCCTTGGGGTCAATGCCTTCCACAAACCATCTACCACCACGGGCAGCTTCATCTCTTGGCCAAAAGATCGTGCCCCTGCGGAAATATCTCGGGGCACCGTGCACCGGATCACGTGTCTACTGTCCCGCTTCCTACTATCGGGGCACGGCCGGACTGGAGGCGCGCGCCTCCAGTCTGGTCGTGATCGGGAAAACAAGAAATTCCGTGAAAGAATGCGGCCACACAGAAACGGCCTCCGACAATTCAACAGCCAACAGAGGGCAATAGCAGAACACTACAATCAGTGTGACCAGCACATTTTCCCGGACAACGTGGTGATTCTATAATAAGAAAAGAACACTCATCGGTGACTCTTACTCGGATCCTGGCACATTGAGCTGACAGCGAGGAACATCAACACTCCATGGGGACATTGTTTTCCTTCACCAGCAAGGGCTTGCGGCAAATCACTGCTAAGCCTCTTACACACGGCAAGCAACCGTATACGTATAAGCTCCGCACATCTCGGGCTTTCTCACCCCTGAGGAAGAAGCCAGACCGACTTCGAAACGTCAGGTGTTTCCCTATATAGTTTTGATTACAGTGCTTCTAATCCTTCAGTTTGGCTATTTCAATCTTTGCGAGGCTAAGTGCGAACTTCGCCAACTTTTTCGCACTGACTCACTACCCGCAGTTCGCGTTTCACAATTACCTTGAACCTCTACAGCTTTCATTCTTGAATCTTTACACTTGAAAACTGCTCTGCTAGGAAAAAGCATTTCGGGTACACATGGAAACTTGCTCAGCAACTGAATAATTTCTTTCTTTGGTTGCTGAAGAACGAATGATGAATGGTGACTACTATAGCATTGATTGTGACAGCTATGCCCATTTTGACCCGGAAAATACATCAGAACGTCGAATGCACCACAGTCTAAAGTGCTATCACATACGCTTACCTTAAACATGTGCAATCTGGCAAGCTCATCCGGCAGGGGAATGTAGATACGCTTCTCAAAACGCCTCCGAATGGCTGAATCCAGAATCCACGGAATGTTGGTGGCGCCCAGCACGAGAATGCCGTCGTTGTCGTTGCCGACACCCTGCATCTGCACCAGGAATTCCGTTTTGATACGTCGAGTGGCGTCATTCTCGTTGTCGGACCGGGTGCTGCAGAGGGAGTCAATCTCGTCGATGAAGATAATGCTCGGCTTCTGGTTGCGCGCCATCTCGAAGAGATTGCGCACCAGCTTTTCGCTTTCGCCGAGCCACTTTGAGACCAGGTGGGAGGATGAAACCGAGAAGAACGTAGAGTTGTTCGCTTCGGTGGCCACTGCCTTGGCTAGATAAGACTTCCCCGTACCGGGGGGTCCGAAAAGCAGGATGCCCCTCCACGGTTTACGTTTGCCCGTGAACAAGTGGGGGAACTTGATGGGCAGTATGACAGCCTCCTTCAGGGCTTCCTTGGCCGCGTGCAGTCCAGCGACGTCGGACCACTTAACGTTCGGTTTTTCCTTGACGATAACTCCTTCAAACTGGCTCCTCAGTTTTTTCTTCTCCGGCATTTCATCGTCGCTAGCCGTACTGTTGTCTTCAATTTTACCCCTACTTTCACCTTGTTTCACACGATTATTCTCGGCTTTGCAGTGGAGGTACTCCTTAAGCTTCTCGGCTCTGTCCAAGTATTGGGCACACTTGGATCTGATACCTTTTTTCACCCGAGGAGGCTGTACTTCGTACCTGATAGCGTGTAGAAAGTTCTCCACTGCATGCCCGTAGAGGCGTAGGGCTTCGGCGTAGTTCTTATTTTTGTCTTCCTCGGTGGCCCGTGTCACCAGGTCGATCGCGGTCTGGAGAGCCGTGTTATTACTCATTCCGTCTTATATCAACATAAGGCTGAGGCTGAAAGGTGGCGTGAATTTACGTGACAATTTCGAAGGTGTCCTCTCGATCAGTCGAACCACAAATGATGACAATGATGTTGACTTTGTACTTGTATGGCTTGCCCCCATTACAGGAAATGGGCCAATGCTTTAGTGGCGAAAGCTTTGCGACAAAACCTATGTCGTGATGGGGAAAAAGTTATTTAATTAAAAAACAATTGAAGCATTGAAAGCACTAAACAACCAGGAGTCGGCCTATTAGATGGAATATATGCAAAAGATAATAAACCAATAAGTGGAGAAAGTGAGAAGGTGGAGTTGTAGGTCAAACCAGTTTCCACAAAATGTAAGAAAAAGAGAAAACGCAATCTCAAATAAACGGACAAAAAAGGGAAGTGCCTAGTAGTTTTGACGCCACTGAACTTCCGTTCGACAGATTCTCGTAGGCACGCTGCCGAGATCCTCGCATCATTGGCCAATTTTTCAGTGGTATAATTAATTACACGATTAGCTACACACGTTGTCGGTGCCCATCTTGGAGGCCACGCGGGAGCATTTTTTCAAAAGGGTGTCATTGTTTTCCATGCTCCACTCTGCCATAGCCTGGGCGGTCAGGTTGTTATTTAATAATCGAGGGGTGTTAGATATGTAAGCGACTATATATGTTAGTAATTTATGTTGATTGCATGCAGCGTGTTCCCGGATATAATCACGTTCCTCGCCGTACAATTTACGGAGGCGTATGGCAGAAAACAGGACGCTATCTGGGTACTTGGAACAGAACTGGAAGGGGCAGGTGGCATTCCTAGTGCTCAGCCGCTAAACGCTACTCGCACTTTATGTATTGAAAGACAGCACTGCTAAAATACGCGGTTACCCTATTACCTTGCGCATACTGAGCAAATCTCTCCTTTTAGATGCGAAGCAGCTCTTTCACTAGCCTGTGTAACGCTGTCAATCTGTACACCCCCACTGTACATGCTGTCGTATCGAGCTGAGACGCGCATGCTCGCGTCTCGTGCCGGCCCAGAAATACACCCGCAAAACTGTCACTCCCCTCCCCCTCTCTCGCCTCGCAAGGCCGACGTAGGCAGCGTCTGCTAGCAAAAACGCTGAGTGCTGGCGCTGCACAACCATTCACTGGCCACCCCATTATATAGACCCATTCCATGTTTGTAAACACAGGTAGGCTGACGTCGACATTATGGGCAAGACGTCCGCTCGTAACTTCCGCCATAAGCACTGAGGGCTGTGATGTGCGCCAGGAAAACTACGTTGTGAGACGCCATGAGCGTTTAAAAAACCATAAGCGCTGAAGGCTGCGATGTGCGCCAACAAACGAAACTAAGTTGTGAGACGCGACTGACATCCAACCGCGACGCTGCTCGTCGGCATACCATTTTTTAAGTGTGAATACACTTTATAAGCGACCCCAAACCATCCACCGCCGTCGGCGGCGTCCGCAGTCTTCTCTCTATCTTTAAAAGAAAGAAGACTTGGCGGGCCACAGCGCGACGCTCTACTGAATAAGCCACGGACGCGACGCTGATATCGGTGTCAGTAAAGCCTAGTTCACACTGAAACATCCGCTTTCTACAGCGACCGAAATTCCCCTGCCGCCGAAACACAGCGTCGTTCGCACTGGACGCGCCCCGCGCCGCCGAATATGCCATCTACTACGGGGCGAACGCGGGATGGATGCGCTGTCACCCGGTTGTTGTCGCGGCTCGCAAACGCTACTACGCTATCTAGTGGTGCATACTTCGAAGATTCTCGTACGCAAGAAGCAAGAAAAGACAGTACTGCTTTCTTTGCTGGCAAGTGGCTGTCTTGTAATGCACGAAGAGCAGAAAAACCACCGACGCCAGCGGCGTTGGTGGGTTTGTTTTGCTTTGCAAGACCGCAACAAGCTCGGTCACGCCAACAGCAAGCTCGGTCACCTCTTTCACGAAATACGGAGGCGAAGTAGGCACAGAGTAGGTTAAACTCCCGTTGGTTTCAACATTCAGTTACGTGCACTGCAGCATAACAAGTGAGTAGGGCTTGGCCGCCATTTTTCAAAATTCCTTGACTAGCGCTCCTATTGGTCCGCGGTGACCGATTCGGCGTCAGACGCCGCAAAAATCGGTCCGAGAGTGATCGGCGCGGAAAGGGCCCTTTCGGCGGATCTCGCCGCCGCCGAACCGGATTCGGAGCACTTTCGGCGGCCGGAATGCTCAGTGTGAACGTGGCCTAACGCGCCTTATACCCCCTCCCCCTTCGCTTGCTCCTCCGCTCTCCTCGCTCGCTGCAGCTGCGCGCGCACCCCTCTCTCTCGCGCGCCCGCCTTCTCTCTCAGTCTCCGGTCGAGAGTGGGTCGTGAGGGGGAGTAAAGTTAAAATCCGTTGGCATTCGCCAGTGAGTTAACGTAAACTCCCCCGTGTGATCGAATTGCGATTCCCAGGAACCATTACAGCATAAAGGCACCATAGTGTGATTAATAAATATAATAGTGCGAATTAATAAATACCCCTCATAGCATTACCCCGTGTATTCGCACTTAACCATGTTCACCATCGGGGAAATGCTTGGATTTTTTGTTTCTTTTTGCCTGACTGAGAACACCACATGTACCATTGAAAACCTAGCAGAAACTTTGGTAGGCAGAGCGTCTTTTGCCTACCAAGATAGCGCCACCACATTTTCGTGACGCAAGTCCGGTGGAATTGGTCTATAGGCGCTGGATCGCACATGCGAAGTTCAGTCAATTAATGGCGTGTTCGCTTTCGCATGCTGAGCGCCAGCGTCAACGTATCAACCAGCGCAAGCGTTAGCGCCCGCTGATTCACATCTACAAATGGTTCCCTTAAGCCGGAGATTATGCAAGTTTTTTTTTCTTCCACAGCACTAGGATTTGCTCGCGTAGATTCACGTTTTCGTAGTCTCCCCACCCCCCTTTTTTTCGGCTTTCAGCATTTTATAAGCACATGGTTTCGATAACCGCACTAGTTCCGATAACCATGCAAGCTTCTTATCACTTTTGAACAGCGAAGGTATTCTAGCTGAGCGTAAAATCTTTGTGGTGCCCCAAAACTATCATCATTACGAACAGAGACGTGCTCACGTGCTCTGATTAGTCGGGCGTATACCAAGAGGGCAAGAAAGAGAGTGATAGAGATAGAGAAAGAAAAAAGAAAAGGAAGTGAGAAAGCCTGTCTGCGGAAACGAAGAGAGAGAATAAACTTTATTGAAGAATTAAAATTACGTGACTAATCCCGGGTGGAGCCCTCTTGTAGAGCCCCACTGGCCACAGCGGCTCGCCGGGCCTGGTCTAGGGTCACCAGTTGGCTCCCCCAGTGCCAGCTCGGAAAGCCGTGCCTCCCAAGACCACGTTGTGAGTGTTTGTAGTGAGTGCACCAACCTAGATACTGCATTGGCTGGCCGCTCGGTACATTGGTAGGTTATGTGTGTAAGTGTGGCTGTGTGGTTACTACACCATGGGCATACCCCTGTTGTGTATATCTGTGGAAAAATTGCGTGTAGTTTGATATGTGGGGGTATGTGTTCGTTTGGAGGCGGCGCCAATCCGGGCTTGTTGGCTGCTTAAGTTCGGATGTGGAGGGGCGTACGTGCGTCTTGTAAGGCGTTGGTTTTCCAATATCTGCCTGCTTGTTACACTTTGCTCTTCATGATGCCCTGTGAGGTGTCCTGAGGAAAGTCCTGCGTCTCGGCCAGTAAGTCCGCGAGCTACGCAGTTTGCCTCCTCATTCCCCCCCCAGGCCGTCATGCCCTGGGCACCAAGTGACGCCATGTGCCTCCATCAACATGGACCCCAAAATATCAGTGACGCACCTTGGAAGTGTGCCTCTAAGGTATAAACGACATGCAGCTTGTGAGTCTGTCAAAATATACGCTGAGCGCCCCCTTCTTTCGGCTTCTCTGATTACCAAGGCTATGGCTGCTGCCTCTGCGGTGGCACTTGATCTGGTGCGTAGGGACGTGCAGGCCACGACTTTGCTTTGGTTAGTCACTGCCAATGCATATGCTTGTTTTCTGGAGCCTTGTGGTGGCGCGGGATAAAGACTAACGTCGGTAAAGTAAGCGTCTGGATCGCTACTTCTCTGCAGGAGTTTTCGTGCTCGCGCTTGACGGCGCTTTTTGTTGTAGAGCGGGTGCATGTTTTTTGGAACTGGTTCCACGATTATTTGATCACGTATTTGCTTGGGTACAATGACTGTCTCATCGCCACAATATTGAGGGGTGAGAGGGTATCCCAGCCTCTGTAGCAGTGTTCTTCCCTGGAGCGTAGTGGTGAGTCGTTCTCGCTGTGCGATTAGCGTGGTGGGCGGCCAATTCTTCATACGTATTATGCATGCCGAGTCCCATGAGTTTTTCTGTGCTTGTGCTGTTCGGAAGTCGCAATGCTGCTTTGTACGAAATTCTGATGAGTCTGTCAATCTGCTCTATTTCGGGCTTGCGTGTTGATTGAAAGGGAAGAGCGAACGTGACTCGGCTGAGAACGAAGGCATGTACAAGGCGTACCGTGTCGGCATCTGTCATCCCATCATTACTTCGCGCAATTCTAGCTATAAGGGATGCAATACTCTTTACGTTGTGTTTGAGTTTGCCTATTGCAGTCTTTACGCTGTTGTTTTCTTGCACGTGCATGCCTAATATTCGAGCTACTGGGGTCCTGTTGATGATCTGTCCGGCAATTTCTAGCTGCAGCACGGGTGCACGGTTGGACCGAGTGCGTGGGGGTCTTATTTGCAAATATTCCGATTCGCAAGGTGCGCACGACATGCCTGCAGCAGTGAGGTAGCCTTGAATCATGTCTACAGCGGTTTGCAGTACATCTTGTCGTTCTCCAAGGAGCCCTTTGTTGCCCATAGCGTAATATAATCCGCGTAAAAGGCACAGCCCAGGTTTGGTACAGTCTCCAGTTGGAGGACTAGTTTCCGGAGGCCGATATTGAATAAAAATGGAGACAAGATGGAGCCCTGAGGTGTGCC